CAACAAAAAGAAAAAAAGCGCGCTCGCGAGGGGAGAGAACACCCCCCCCCCCCCCCCCCCTCTCTCTCTCTCTATAGAGAGAGAGAGAAAGAACAGCCATTATTAACACCTGTAACTGTATAATAAAGAAAACCCCGGAATATATATAATTTCTTCAAACCCGTGATATATATATACATATGATACATTAAATTAAATTATAAAAAAAAAAAATCCAAACAAACCCTAAACAAAACCCCAATCATACAATTAATTAACACACATCAAAAACCTCAAAAAAATTAATTTGATTTTAAAAAAAAGATATATAAAAATACCTGGAGAAAAGAGTGCCACAATCGCATCGATATTCGCGAGTACCGCAGGTTTTGGAGTGAGCTTTCCAATCGGATTGAACGGCATATTTCTTGGAGCATTTCTCGCACTTGTACTTCTTCTCGCCGTGTTTTCTAGAGTAGTGTTTCTTTATCCCGGTGAGGTCACCCAGCGCACGTGCCGGGTCGTGGTGCACGCACGTGGGTTCGGGGCATAGGTAAACCTTTCGTCTCACTTCCTTGGTGCTTTTTTGCCGCAGCTTCCATGGCAGGTTGTGTCCTCTTCTGTGTAGCTGCAGATTCTGCTCTCTTTGGAACCCTTTGTTGCACACCTCGCACACGAATCTGTTCGTCGCCATTAGCGTTTTCGGCGATAGCGCTATCACCTCCGCATCTGGATCTGCGTATCAATCATAAAAACCAATTCATTAATTAATTTGTTAGTAATAAGAAGTTTTATGTTGTGGTGGTTGATTTTCTGTCGTGGTGATTCTGTTTTGTTTTCCGTCTTTATGAAAATAACTTTTTGGCTCTACTGAAGAAAAAAAGATTCTTTCAGAAAAAGAAAAAAAAAAGCAGAAAGTAAGAGAAAAAGCTGGAGAAAAAGCTGTTTTGGGGAGATTTATGGAGGAGGGGGTTTTTAGGGGTACTTGCTTGGATTTCCGGGCTGGTTTCTTCTTTTCTTATTGGTGGAAGAAGCCGGTGGTGGTGCCGATGCCGCCGGAGGTGGTGGTGGTGCGGAGGAGGAAGAAGCCATAAGCTGGTGGTGGTGAAGCTGAAGCTGCTGATTGTCGTTTTCATCTCTCATTAAATGAAAAGCTGATGAAGATGAAGAAGCTGCCATGCTTGCTTGCTTGCTCTATTGAAAGAACAAAATTAAATAAAATAAACACAATCTTGAAATCTCCACTGATGATTATTGCAGCAAAATTGATCTTCAATCTTGAAATCAATATAACTGACATATAATATAAGACGTCGACCAAGGAGCCTTCT